AAAGCCCGACAGGGGGCAGTGTTGTCTAGAGGCCACGGCCAGGCCTTCCTGACCACCTGGCCTCGCTCTGCCCAGGCAATGGCGTTGGGGATGTGTGTGAGGATGACTTTGACAATGACGCGGTGGTCGACCCCCTGGACGTGTGCCCCGAGAGTGCAGAGGTGACCCTCACAGATTTCCGGGCCTATCAGACTGTCGTCTTGGATCCTGAGGGTGATGCTCAGATTGATCCAAACTGGGTCGTGCTCAACCAGGTACTTGGGCAGTGGGCTGGGCAGGTGCTATCAGACCAGACTACCAGGTGGGGCCTAGGTGGGGCCGCGTACCCGGAACAGGGCTTTCTTCTTCACTGCACACCCCCAGGGCATGGAAATCGTTCAGACCATGAACAGTGACCCCGGCCTGGCAGTCGGTATGTATGGGGCACCCAGTTTGATCCTTTCCACATGGAGGAATCCTACAGGGGCAGAGGGTGGGGGCCCAGCTGGCCATACATATCACAGGCATCCCTTCCCACCCTGAGTCCACTGTGGGCCAGTGGTGGCTTTGCTGCCCCTGACCTTGATCCCACCTGCCCCCAGGATATACAGCTTTCAATGGTGTGGACTTTGAAGGCACCTTCCATGTGAACACCGTGACTGATGATGACTACGCAGGCTTTCTCTTCAGCTATCAAGACAGCGGCCGCTTCTACGTGGTCATGTGGAAGCAGACGGAGCAGACCTACTGGCAGGCCACACCTTTCCGGGCTGTTGCTCAGCCGGGGCTGCAGCTCAAGGTCTGCGGCTGCCCAGAGCCCCCAGTCCAGGGCCCTTTCCCAAAGCCTCCCTGAGCTGGCCCCAGGGCTTCCGCCACTGCCTGAGTGGGGACCCTCTTTCTCAGCCGTCTGGCCTGGAGGTTGGCTCCCCAGGACTCCAGAATGTTCTCCCGACCACCTTGACTTCCTTCTCCACCTGCACTTCCCAGCCTGTTGTCTGGGTCCTGTGGTTGACCCAACATCTTTGCCAATACCCTCCAGGCAGTGACGTCAGTGTCCGGCCCGGGTGAGCACCTCCGGAATGCCCTGTGGCATACTGGCCACACCCCTGATCAGGTACGACTGCTGTGGACTGACCCACGAAACGTGGGCTGGCGTGACAAGACCTCCTACCGCTGGCAGCTGCTGCACCGGCCTCAAGTCGGCTACATTCGGTGAGGGAGGGGCTGAGCTCTCCTGAGGGACCCCGGCCAGGCTTTGCTTCACCTTCAGCTGGGACTCACCAGTGACGCGCTCTACTCCCTTCTATTCCCCTCCACTCCACTCCCCGGTGCCATGGGCTGGGACCCGGACCACCTCTCTCTCTCCCCTCCCACCACAGATGTCCCGCCTCAGCCCTGCTCTCCTCCTCAGGCAGCCTGGGCCCTGGTGCCGGTGCGACCTAGGATCTATCGGTGATGTTGGGCGAGTCCTTCCTTGTCCGAGCTCTGTTTTCCCCCTCTGTAAAGTGAGGCCATCTCTGGGAGCCTCTAAACCGCAGGCCAGTCTTTGGAGAGACCCATCACATCCAGCCCCTTCAGTGGTGCATCCCAGAAGCTGCCCCATCACAGTGTCTGACCCGGAAGGGGTCGTCATTTGCAGAAGAGTAAACCGAGGCCTAGACCGCACACTTCTTAGGAGCAGGGCTAAGACTTCTCAGTTCAGTGCAGTGTGCACCCCTGTGCATTGCCTAGTTGGTGGGGATGACAGGGAAGGGAGGGGAAATGGCGAGAGCCCAGGGTCCGGGGATTTGGGTTGGTTCCCCTTTAAGGTGCCTGGGGCTGCAGGGTGCCAGGGCAGGGGACGAGGGAGGGTGGACTAGAGCCTGGGAAGCGGGTGACTTCACCCCCCAGCCCATTGTGCTCATTGTCATGGCAACCCAATCCTCGCTTGGAATGCGGCTGGTGCTTTGAGATGCAAAGGGGGCGGACAAAGAGGCAGGGGCCCCAGGCCTGAGAAAAGCACCCATGTCCCTCCCCTTTCCTTCCTCCCTCTCCCTCCTTCCGTTCTCTCTCTCTCTGGCCCGGTGAGCTCCAGGGGGGTTGGGGATGAGCAGGGGCCTGGGCTTGATGGCCCAGTGCCCACTGGCATCCTAGCACCCATGGACACCCCTATCCTGGACAGGGTGAAGCTCTATGAGGGTCCTCAGCTAGTGGCAGATTCTGGGGTGATCATTGACACAGCCATGCGGGGAGGGCGTCTTGGTGTATTCTGCTTCTCCCAAGAAAACATCATTTGGTCCAATCTCCAATACCGATGCAATGGTGAGGCTCCAGACTGAGATCAGCCTGACCTTTCCGCTGCCCTCGTGGGAGAGTCCTATCTTCTGAACTTAATCATTTCTCCTTCCTCAGACACAGTGCCCGAGGATTTTGAGCCATTCCGGAGGCAGCTGCTCCAGGGAAGAGTGTGAAGGGGCGGCCACCGGATTCAGAATCCTGATTTTAGACCCTTTGGCCTTGGGGTCCATCCTGGAGACGCTGGGGTCTAATCTACAGCAGCTCAGCCAAACACAGACCCTCCTCTGGCACCCACAGGAGTTTAGCCCCAGAGGGGTGGTGACCCCACTGTTCAGGAGTTGGAAGTTTTCAAGGGATATTTTTCTCAGGCACTAACCCCAGGAAAGATAACACCACATTGCCATAAAGTTCCAGTGGTTTTCTAAGCTAGTGCATGTTGCTTATTTTAGGGATTTTCCGGGATAGTGTGGGGAGCAGGAAGGAACCTGAGGGGGTGAGGAAGGGGGCTGGTAGGATGAAAGTCGGAGATCTACAGAAGTTTGGCTGAGTGTGGGGCCGGGTGGAGGAAGGAAGGTGCTGGATTGGGGTAGGTGAAGGATGAGGGGCTAGTCCAAAGATGGCTAAAGTCCTCCCAGCCCCACTTACTCACGGTGGCAGCGGCGACACTCCAGTCTATCTTAGGTCTTCCGGATCGAGAGGAGGGCTGGAGCTGGCCCGCTCGGGGCGAGGGGGAGGCCGGGGGGCCGGGGGGGCCGGAGGCCGGGACGAGTGCAATATTGGCGGGGGAAGGAACAACACTGCACCGCGTCCCGTCCCTCCCGCCCGCCCGGGGCCCGGGATCCCACTCCGCACCGCCTGCAGCCGGACCAGCCCCAGAACCGGGGTCGCGCCGGGGTGTTGGGTCCACCCTGGTTGCCAGAGACTTGGCGCCTGGACAAGGGGGGGAGGGGACGGTGTGTTGGGGGTGGCAGGAGGGGAGACCGCGGTGGCCCGGAAAGCCGCTTTCCGACACCCAGCCGTTGCGCGCGCTTGCTCTTTAAATACTCGGAGTGCGCGGCGCGGAGCCGTCGCCATGGTGACGCGTGTCCCAGCAACCGGACTGAATGGCTGTTGCCTGGCAACGCCGAGGCAGAAGTTTTGGGACCGCCCACTTAGATGCCTGCGCTTTCCCCCGCGGGCGGGTGGGGGGCTTCTGCGCCCCTCCGGCCCGCCCGCCCCGCCTGGCCGCTGCACGAAGCCGCGCCCCCCTCGCCTGCCGCCCGGCTTCCCTCCAGCCCCGTGGCACCGAAGTGTTATGAAAGTTCCTGGTCCAGTCTACTCGTGGCGACCGAGAACGGTTCCTAATGCGGACACAACTGCGGGATGTAACCTTCGGAGGGGGCCCGACCCCCACGCTCCACGTGCGCTGTGCCCCAAATACCTCCCCGTGCCCAAACGTTTCTGCCCTCCGTACTTGTATCACACCATTACGCCCCCTCACATACAGTCCCCTGGTCACCACCATGTGCCTGCCTCCCCCCAGTTGCACCCTGCTCCCCATGATACTTCTGGGCCCCCAAATGCCATTCTGTTGCCCCACCTAGTCTCTGCCTCCTAAACGCGTCATTAACCTGCCCCATTTCCCCTCCCACATTCCGCTGTCCTCCCGCCCATACCTCGGTGCCCCTTCCCCGTACCTCAGGACCCCACCCACTGAGGGCCATCTCCTCCGGACTCCGCCCCCACGCGCCCCGGGGTCCCCGCAGCGCTGTCAGCCTCTCCGCCCATGGAGCGGCGCGTCCCTGCGCTCTGCGTCCGAGCCCCTGACCTGCGCGCCGAGGCTCCGCGCGCCCATCCCCCCCACCCCCCAACCCCCGCTCCGGCCCCTCCCGCGACCCCGGCGCCCCCTGGTTTTCGCGCGCGGCCGCCAGGCTCCCGGGGGCCGCCAGGGGGCGGGAAAGCCCGGCCCGCCGCCCGGCGGACGACCGGGCCGGAAAAACCCTGGGGTCCCGCGAAGCGTGAAGTGGAACTTTCTTCCCCCGCCCCCTCCTCGGGAGAAAGCCAAGGCGGGAACGCCGGCTGCTGAAAGTTCCGGCAGGGGCGGGGACTGTGGGTTTCGGTGGATCTGCGTGCGGACCGGGACAGGGGGCGACGGGGACAGGGCGAGGAGCGGCGGTTCCGGGAAGTGGCGGCGGGAGGGGGTCCGAGAGGGGCACCCAGCCCACCCTTTCTCGAGGCTTCTCGTTCCTCCCCAGCCCCCACAGTGGGGCTTCAAGGGGCGCAGTGAGAATGGGGAGCGGGGTGAGGGACGTGAGGGTGAGTGAGCTTCCTCGGCCTGCTGTCCGGGAGCCTGACCTAGCCCACTTCCTCTGTCCCTTGTCTCACCTTGGTTGTCGCCCTGAGGCTAAAAACGAGAGCCTGGGACACCCAGGGCCTTGAGTCCCCCCACCCTTCACCGCCTTCTGGAGCCAGGGAGTGGTTGGCGAAAGAAGGAAACTATTTGGAGAACAAACAGGTTGTCAGAGGGTTGAGTGATTGGAGCCCAGGTTCCCCACCTGAGGGGCCAGGAATGATTGGGGAGGAGGAAGAAGCAGGAGGTAGGGAAGGGGGAGGGGGCGGGGTTTTGTCACCTGTCACCTGCTTGGGCTGAGCCTAGGGCGGGCCAGGGGCCGGTATAAAGCAGCAGGTGCCTGTGACCTCCCCACCTCACACGCTGCGCCTTCCGGAGCCTGCTCTGCCCCTTCCCCACCCGGTTCAGCACCGCCATGACGCCGGGCTTCTGGGCCCCTCTCTTCCCCCTGCTTCTGGTAACCACACAGCTTGCAGGTGAGGGGCACAAGGTGGGAAGGGGGCTGCCTTGCTTATGGCGTTTTCCAAGCCTTTCTGTGGATTTTCTTTGCTAGCAGATGGTACCCCAAGGGGCAGAAGTTGTAGGCAGGAGCCACCCAGTCTGTGCCAGAAAAAACGAGAGAGGCTAAGGACAGACGGAAGGGTCAGCCCCTCCAGAGAGCTAGTGCCAGGGGCAGTACAATGACCTGGGGCGAAGTCTGGCGGGGAGGGGGGAGGAGGGGGAGGTTAGCTTTTAGGAGTGGAGAAGTGGACAGCTAGGAGCAGAGGGGTCCACCACCCGGGGACACCACGGTGCCTCATCCCCAGCCTCCTGTGGCGCCTCAACCCCGACCAGCGGCCCCGCCTCGGGCTCGACCACCACCCCGGGACACCACGGTGCCTCATCCCCAGCCTCCCGGGGCGCCTCACCCCCGACCAGCCCCGCCTCGGGCTCGACCACCACCCCGGGACACCACGGTGCCTCACCCCCGACCAGCGGCCCCGCCTCGGGCTCGACCACCACCCGGGGACACCACGGTGCCTCATCCCCAGCCTCCCGGGGCGCCTCACCCCCGACCAGCCCCGCCTCGGGCTCGACCACCACCCCGGGACACCACGGTGCCTCATCCCCAGCCTCCCGGGGCACCTCACCCCCGACCACTAGGACTATTGCTGACACCACTCACCATAGCATAGAACCTCCCACCTCCTCCAATCGTAGCACTTCTCCCCAGTTGTCTCTTAGGGTCTCCTTCTTCTTCCTGTCTTTTTCCATTTTGAATCTCCAGTTTAACTCTTCTCTGGAAGATCCCAGTACCAAATACTACCAAGAGCTGCAGAGAAACATTTCTGAGTTGGTGAGTAGGTGTCTTTTCTCTCCTGTGCTCCGTGCTCCCCCCGCATCAGCCTCCAAACTGCCTGACCTGTTTGCCTCAAGCCTTATTTCTTCTCCTCTCACCCCAGTTTTTGCAGGTTTATGAACAGGAAGATTTTCTGGGCTTCTCTAACATCAAGTTCAGGTACAGTTCTGGGTGTGGACCGTGTGGAGGGGAGGAGCGGAGGCTGCCGCGGCCGTGGGGGGATTGCTGACCCGAAGCTGGGACCCGTGGCTGAGTCGCCTGTTTCCCGGTGACCAGACCAGGATCTGTGGTGGTCGAATCAACTCTGGTCTTCCGCAAGGGTGCCACCGACGCCTGCAACGTGAAGACACAGTTTGAAGAGCACAGCGGGGAACTAGCCAGATATAACCTGTCCATCTCAGGTGTTAGCAGTGAGTCCACTGTCCCTGCCTGCCGCCCAGCACCACGCCGGCAGGGCCCCTCTCTCCAGCACCCAGGCTCCTGCTCTTCCCCAGGGTGCTAGGAGGGGGAGGGTCATCTCTTTTGGGAGAAGGTTCTGACCGCTACGTTTCCGTTTAGTGCAAGACCTGTCGTTCCCTTCCGCCGGCCCGTCCGGCTCTGGGGTACCTGGCTGGGGCATCGCCCTGCTGGTTCTGGTCTGTGTTCTGGTTGCACTTGCCATCCTCTACGTCATTGCCCTGGTAAGTGTTGGGTCTCCAGGCCTGACCAGAGGCCCCCTGCTGGAAGGAACCCCACGACCCCCGTTGCGTCCTTTCCCCAGGCTGTGTGTCGGTGCTGCCAGAAGAACTGTGGGCAGCTGGACCTCTTTCCAACCCATGATGCCTACCACCCTATGAGCGAGTACCCCACCTACCATACGCATGGGCGCTATGTGCCGCCAGGCAGCAGACGCAGCCCCTATGAGGAGGTAGGAGGGGCCCCACAGGGGCAGGGAGGCAGAGCCTGGGCTGGGCCGGGCTTCTGAAAGCCCGGAGAACCTAGAAGAGGTGAGAGGCTGCGGAGGGCCTGGCAAGGGGGCGGGGTCAGAGGGGCTGGGGTGCAGGGGAGGCCTGGGGAAGGGGCCTTGGGAGGAAGGGGACCTCAAGAGTGTCCCCACGACCAGCATTTGCTGGTCTGCTGAACAGCACTGGGGAGCCCTCCACGCAGGACTCCCGAAGGAATGAGCGCCTGTGCCCCCCGCACTCAGCTCCCAGGAGTGGAGGGTCGATTTAGAAAGACCGGCAGGAATGGGGGGTGTCTGTGATGTGGGGGAGGAAGTCTCACCCAGCCGGGTGAGCTTGGTGCCATGGGAGTCTTGGGAGGCCCAAGGAAGCAAGGAGCCCTCCTACTTCTTTCCTCACCTGGCCTTTCTCTCCAGGACCTAGTAAATAATTACTTTGGCCACCTAGGGCTGGGGCGCCATTGCGGGTGGGGGAGGGGAGTTTCCTTTTCTCGACCCTGTTTTCCTTCGCCAGGGACTTCCTTGTCTCACCTCGACAGAGGCACACACATGCCTGCTTGGGCTGGAGGAGCGGAGGACGGATGGAGACGGGGGCAGCAGGGGAGGACAAGGGGGCTGATGGGAGCCCAGGGGAGGGAGTGAAGGGGGCAGTGTGGGGAGGAGCAGTCCTGGGCCCTGTTTACAGTCACTTGGCCGCAGGCGGTGCCTTGGCAGGTGCTCTCCGAATTAACCCTTTGAGAGTTAGACTCCTGGACCTATTACCCCAGGCTGGGGTGCGATCTGGGAGCCCTGGAGGCACTTTCTCCCAGGAAAGCTAACGCCTCTCAGCCTGGGTCTCCTCTCCCCACCTAGGTCTCGGCAGGCAACGGGGGCAGCGGCCTGTCTTATGTGAACCCGAACCCATCAGCCACTTCCGCCAACTTGTAGGAGCACGTTGCCCGCCGCCACCCCTGAGCGTTGGGACACCAGTGCCTCCTGCCTCCCCCAGGCTCCTCACTGCCAGAGTCCTCTCCTCTCAAACCTGTTTGGAGCTGGTGAGCCGGGAGTTCAGGTGGGCTGCTCACAGGCCCCACCAGGTCTCCTAACCGATGTCAGCCCTGCTGAAGCCCATCCGAGCCCCTTGGGAACAGGCCTGGGACAGTGGCTCCCAGGAGGACAGGCCCAGAAAACCCCGAGATGGAAGTGCAGACCAGACCGGGGCTGAATAAAGTGGGGACCTCCTCAGTGCTGACTGCCAACTTTGGATCTGTCATCTGTGACCCTTAGATTGGGGGGGGACAGAATGTGTGTGGGGGGGTTTGGAAGGGGTCTTTGCAGGAGACGGGGGTGCGTAGAAGGCAAGAGTAGGGTTCATTTGGAAAGCAGGAGATGTGGAGGGGAGATGACATTGGGGCGCAGGTCACCTCTTCCCATTCCTGGTGGCATAAGAGGAAGGAGGAAACGAAACTGGGTTGACTGGAGGCCAGCATGACCTGAGGCCAGTGTGGCCCAGCCCCACCTGCACCTGCGGAGAGGGGTCTCCCCTCTCCTGGGCTGTGGGCTGGTGGCTGGGGGCAGCCACGCCCTCACCTCCCCTTGGCCCGGTGCCCCCAGAAGCTCTAATCTTAGCTGCGGGGGTGTGAAGTAAGTGTGTGGGCAGCGATAACAGGCAGAGTCAACATGGCCGTGATAAGCACAGCATCAGTTCCGGACACTGGCGCCCGGCCGGGCCCCCTCCCTGGCTGGCGGGGTATGCCCCAGGCACCCTGGGAATGGCAAAGTTGTTCTGGTTCCCTGACCCCTTTGGACCCAGGCACAGTGCCCGCCCCTCTCACCACATGCCCTGGGGGCCTGGGCCCTGCCATGGCCAGCAGCCACCAGTGCCATGCGCCCCCAGTAGGCCACCCATCGGCGGGGGCTTGAGCCAGAACGTGTGTGGCAAGAGGAGGCTCAGGAGCACCTGCTTGGGACCTCCTTCCCTCAGGCGCCAGATCCCCTGAGCACCCCTGCTCTGAGCAGTGGCGGATCTCCCCGGCTCTTTCCCACGTGTCACGCCCAGCACAGAAATGAAAAGTGATGGTTGGGCTCAGGGAAGGCAGAGGTGTGCCTGGCAATGTCGTTTATTGTTTAGAAACCGTGAAAATATCAGCTGTTGCTTGGCACAGGCCTGGCAGTGCCCACTGCAGGGGGCAGCAGCGGGCCCCAGAGGCCTTACCTAGCCCAACCCACCGGGGACACCCAACCTCCGCTGGGGTCCCCAAGGAGACTTGGCACGTTGGCATATAGGTGCAGGACGGGGTGAAGCATGCAAGAGGGAGGAGGAGAAAAACAGGCATGCAGCCAAGGGCTGTGGGAACCCCAACAAGTCGAGCAGGATGACCGGGTCCTCTTCTCCTCACCAGGGAGTGCCTGGGCAGTGTCCGGCCAAAAAGCCTACCTGCCCCAAGGCTGTAGCTCAGCATCGATGGGGCAAGGGAGCTTGGCAGGGTGGAGGGCGGAGCGCAGAGCTGGTGGTCATGCCCAGTGTTCCAGGTGCCTTCCCTCCCAGTCAGCCTGGGGAGGGGCACAGAACAGCAATGCGGAAGGGGCTCTCTCCGTGACTTGGGTGGGATGCCAAGGGCAGGGCGTAGGCCAGAGACTTGGTGGGGGCTGGGGCCTGGCTTAACAGGCAATGGAGAGAATGGGGGACGTCTAGAAAGGTGAGCAAGGGAGAGTCCCTTGCTCGAGAGAAGGCCCCGGGAATACAGAGACACAGGGTAAGGGACAGGAAGACATGGTAGGAAGAGTTTGGGGAGAAGCTGCCGGAGGAATAACCCGGCTCAGCAGGCCTGGAGGGCCAGGGCCCAGGAGGGGCCAGAAACGGTCAGTCGAGCTTGGCAAAGCCCCCGATGGTGACCTTCCTCTCAGGCTTAGTGCCCACAGGCTCCTGGAGTTGCACTGCACCACCCCCAATGAAGCAGAAGGCAGGGCACACGGGCCCCGAGCAGTCCAGAGGGCACTCCAGGAGCCCGCGGAAGGACACAGCATCCAGGAAAGACACGCGGCCCCGCTCATAGTCCAGGCAGATGCCCAGGCGGGGCGGCAGGGGCACGGTGCAGCTCACCGCGGGGCCGTCCCGCCCCGTCAGCCCTGCGCCGGAGCTGGCCCCGGACCCCAGCAGGATCTTCCCCATGCCAATGGTCAGGAAAGCGAAGGGCGGGGACGCCTCCACCGTGGCATCCTCGGCACCGCTGTCGTGCCCACTGTCCGGATCGTACCTGCAGGAGCGGAGTTGGGTAGGACAGTGTTGGGGGAGAGGGAGGGGTGGGGTGGGGCGGGGTGGGGGGCAGAGGGCTGAGACGCTGGAAGGATGGGACGTTGGGGAGCAAGTGCCTGAAAGGACCGATTTGGGTACTGCGGGGACGTTTCGCAGACACGAGGACTAGAACCCGGGGCTGGGGTGTGAGTCCGGGGGGGAAAGGCGGAGTGAAAGCAGGAGAGGTGGCGGAGAAGGAGGGGGGGAGGTGACGATCGGACGCCGCGAGGAGACAGGAGACAAGAAGCTGGAGAGGAGAACCGCGTGGGGACGTCGTGCTGGGGAGGGTCCGGGGAGGGTTCCAGATTGTTGAGGATGCGGGCTTTGTCACTGGGGGACTGGGGGAGAAGGCTGGGTGTTGGGAGGGAGGTGGGGTGGGGGGGCTAGTGTCAGCGGGAGAGCGCTGAGAAGAAATGTGTTCAGGGATAGAGTGCTGGGAGGAAGGGTTCGGGGAGGCACATGCGTTGGGGGGTGTTAAACAGCATGTTGGCAATAGAGGGGATGGAGGTGGACGTTTTAAGGGAAGGATCTCAGACGTGGTGAAAGGAAGAAAGAGTGTGTTGCTGAGAAAGCACGTCGGAACAGGGTGTTGGGAGATGCAGAGGCTCTCAGAGACACGGTGTGGTGGTCCTGAGGACAGGTGGGAGCAAGCAGATGGCTCCCTCTCCTGCAGCCCTCTCCCAGTCACACACGCCTCCGAAAACCAATTCTCCAAGCCCTTCTGCTAAGCCCACGCTTGCCCCGGCCGCAGGCCCCAGCCTGGCATCCACGCTCTTAAACTCCCCTACTCCACCCCAACCAGCATGAGCTCCCCTTGCCACCCCCATCCTGTCCCCAGCTCCCCCATCCAGACCCTCACACCCCGCCCCCCTCCCCCAGAGAGGCCTGACCTGGGGCTGATCACATCGGGGGCACCCTGGAAGCTCTCCTGAAGCTTGCTCTCCAGCCCGACGCCCACCTTGACCAAGTAGGAGGCTGGGTCGACGGCACAGGCCCAGTAGCTGCGGCCCTGGGTCACGGCCACGTCTCCCAGGACCACATCCACGCTCAGGTGGCAGCCGGTGAGCAGCCGCTCGGCAGCCAGCAGCAGGGGCAGCCCCGGGACACTCCGCACGGCTCGCTGGTCCTTGCTGATGGCCAGCCGCTCTCGGCTTGCGCCCCAGCGGCCATCGAGGAAGAAGTGCAGGACTGCAGTGGGGGAGGGGTGACAAAGGAAGGCCTTGAGGGACAAACCCAGGCCGTGGAGGTCGTGAGGTGTCAGCAAAGGACACTGGGAGGTTTCAGAATGTGAAACAAGCTGCCAAGGGATGGGCGGGGGCCCCAGGGACCAGGGCCTGGAGAACTGCAATGGGGGACACGAGGAGAAAAGAAGGGGCTACCTGAAAGGGGCATGGGACCCCAGGAAGAGTTTTAGTGGGGATTGGTGGGCCCAGAAACCAGTCTCCCAGACCCAGCCGACCTGCAGTGCTTCCTCCCACCCCTCCTATGCTGGCCCCCACCACCGACCTACACCTGCCAGCGCTCGCTCCGGTGCTCACACCCGGCCCTTACACCCCACTTGGGCGGTGATGCTCCTGTATGGTTTTATGCCTGTGCCCCAGGGGCCAGGCTATTTTCTGGAGAGTCACTGTCCTAACCTCTACTGAGCCCTTACTATGAGCTGGACGCTCACCGGCTTCATTCTCATAACAGTAACATTGCTATTATCGCTGGAGAAGAGGGACTCTGGGAGTTCAGAGAGGGCCAACGACTTGCCTAGAGCCACCGCTGGCAAGAAGCAGAGCGGGGATTTGACCCCAGGCAGTCTAGCTCCAGAGCTGGTGAGCGTGGCCCATTGTGTTGCTCCCCAGTGCCCGCCCAGCACCAGCTAATAGTGCAGCGAGGCGGCCCCAGCACGCCCCGCGCCCGCCCACCTTGCCCGCTCACCGGGCGCCGGGGGGCCCCAGCACGCCCCGCGCCCGCCCACCTTGCCCGCTCACCGGGCGCCGGGGGGCCCCAGCACGCCCCGCGCCCGCCCACCTTGCCCGCTCACCGGGTGCCGGGGGCGTGTGCAGGTGCACATCTTCACTGTACTCGCCATAGCCGGCCTTGTTGCAGCCCCGGACGCGCAGCACGTACACAGAGCCTGTGTCTGGGTTCTCCAGCAGGGCACTGGTGCCCCTCACCTCCTCTCGCCGCTGCCAGCGGGTGGGACCCGGCTGGGCAGGCGCATCGGTGCGCCGGAACTCGATGGTGTAGTGCCAGGCAGGTGGCGAGTGGGGAGGCAGCCGCCAGCACAGGAATATCTGGTCGTAGGCGAAGGTGCGCTGTGTGTCGATGACGGGAGCCTCGGGGACTGTGGGAAGAGACAGCGGGGGTCAGTCAGGGCCTGGTCACGGGCCTAGCATGGAGGGCAGGCAGGAAAAGGGAAAGCAGCGGGGGCCGGGGGGGTGAGTGTGGGTGAGAGGGAACTGGGGGCAAGGCCATCTGGGTGCCAGGCAGGGAGGGGCAGGGCAGAGCCCAAGGGAGCAGGGGAGAGGCCGGAGCGCAGGGGGCCGGAAGCCTCATGCGGGTTCTGGCCTGCCATTCTCCCAACTCCAGCCTTAGGGCAGTCGCTTCCCAAGTCTGGGCTTCAGTTTCCTCCTCTGTCAAAAACAGTCTTAGACCAGATGGG